GTTATTTAAATTTCAAGAAAAGCAGAAGTGTATAGATTGTTTTTTCAAGAAAAGAAAAGAGTGTATAGATAGTTTGCAGTACTGATGCCGTCTTCTGATCTCTCCATTTCAACTCTAGCCATATTAACCTATCATACGTCCTGTTTTGCAATTCAGAAAGGTTCGTCCACTGAACAAGCTGCCCATCGAAAGTGTTCACGTGCACTTGCTTCAAATCGTGCCGCCAAAAGTAGGGATCGGTGCCTAGGCTCTTGTTTGCAAGCAAGATGTTTAACTGAAACTCCGAGAGCCTGTTTTTCCTACAACCCCATATATGCCTCGGTTGACAAACACAAAACAAACCATTTGTAAAGCATGTGTACCAAGATGCCGTGTGGCATTTAGAAGTACTAAATTCCAATTTCTCCACCACCACAGGCGGATGGTCGTCAACAGCACTGCATGGCACGTCCTGAGAGCCGCCGTTCATCTGCAGAGTCAGAGAAATCCGAGACCCACTTAGTGCCTTGAGCACTCGTCTCAGCTTAAGGAACCACAAACTGACGTCGAAATCGGGATCAACTTCACGTGAAGAGAGGCTTACATATGAGTTCCACTCCTTGGAAGTCGTGGTTGTGAAAGAGAATCTGTCCGGAGTAAGGGCAGTGAACGTAAACCTGAGAATGTTGGGGGCACAAATCGTAACTCCTTTAAGCAATATTTTGCGTGTTGAGATGGTCAAGAACTTGACCGAATCACTTGCAAGATGGAATTCCTCGAAACCGGAGCAATTATATAGGGACAACCTCTCAAGAGTTGGGCAGCCGAACGATAATAGGTCAAACGACTCGCTCGACAGGATCACATAATAGAGATCCAAACTGGTGAGACGAGAGAACAAGAATGTGCTTTGGCGGTGAGACCAAATCCATAGGCCCCAGATGGAGACTGTCTCGAGATTCGGGACATCGATTTCGATGCTACGCCCTTCGATCCTCTCGTAAATATGGAATACAAAGTGGTTGAGCCCAGGTGATGCCACCTCGTTCAGCCTAACGTTTCTCAACTCCGGACAACTATAAATTTCCAGGAGCCTGAGCAAAGGGCAGCCCGACAATATATTCTCCAAAGTCCCATCATCAACTTGGACATCTTTGAGAGTGAGCGTTCGCAGACGTTTCAACTGCAAGCTCTCGAGCGGGACCGGGCTCAGCCTGCATTTGCGCAGGTGTAGCTCTTCCAGGGACTCGGCTAAGAACACTGTCGAGGGCAGGTTGTGGTTCGGCGGAGTATATGAAAGAAATTTGAGTTTAAGCGCTTTTATGTTGAGGGCGGCGATTATTGGGATCCATTTGTCGAGAAGGAAGACGACCGGTGGTGAGTTGTGCCTAGATAATTTAAGACATAATTGGTGTACGGAGAGATTTTGATCACGGTATCCTTGTAGGGTTCGGTCGATGATGGAGAAAAACTTTTCTTGTGTGTCGCCGAACCATTCTATGGAGAAGTCGAGGTTTGGGCGGGTTGTTCCTATGTGGCGCCATTGTTTGGAGAGGAGACAAGTTCTGACTGCTTCTTTCTGGGAGAGGAAACAGAGAATATGGTGAAGTATAGGTATTGGCAAATCGGATATTCTATCGTCCATGGCTGCCGAGGTATTCTCCTTTTTTTTTTTTTTTTTTTTTTAAGGCGAGAGTTAATTAAAACACACAATTTTTTAAGCAAAAACTTTTTCAATCAGTCTTCTAATATGGCTACGAATCTCTTACTTACAAACACATAAAAGCATTTCCAATCCTTTAGCGTTTGTTAAAAAATGAGTTACGTCGAACAGTTTGTTACACAGATATTCCTACTCAGATTTTATTCGGCATAGTATTCTAGATTTTACGGGATTCTCTTCCCAAGATTGATTCTGGATCAATATGGTAATTGTTGTATATTGTATTAGGTAACTGTATTTGTTGGGTTAAGTAGGAAAGTAAAGATACTTTATTCGAGGTGTGCAGAAATCTCCTATTCTAGATCATTATGGTCATTAATATTGTATATTAAATAGTACTTTGCACGGGTAAATAATATTACATAATAATTATGAATTAACGATGACCGTAAATAATATTAATTAATAATTATAAATTAAATATGAGGGTAAAATATTAACTAATAATTGTAATTAAGATGTGGAGATATTAACTAATATTTGTAATTAAGATGTGGAGTTAATATGTGATATAATTTATCGTATATCAGTTGTAAACAATATAAATTTATCTTGTATAAAATAACATAATAAATGTATGTTAAAATATTAAAAACACCTAAAATATTATATAGCGTATGTAAAATATCTAAAATTTTATATATCATTATTGAAGATGTAAGGTCACCGAAAATCTTTCTAAACTATTTTATAAATAATACATGTCTAAAATTATGTTATTCAATTTCCAGAACATGATGATAAGTATAAGTTTGAATTTTAGAATCCACGTGAGTATTATTTTTTTGATCCCTATACTATACAAATTATTCATTATGTTAATTTCCTATGAACTTCATATTGATTTATTGATTTTATTTTATTTCTATACAAAGTTGATCGTCTCATTTTGTTTTACCATATTTTCATGGAGATTTAACAAAGTCGATTGCATTTATAAAATGATTTGGATATCAACATACAATTTATAATGGAGTTTTCAAAATTGTGTAATATTAACAAATGATATATTATCATTATATATATATTTTTTAAATGCACAATTATTGAGACTGATAATTTGATAATTATTTTACCTTTTGAAACTGAGTATAGAAAAAACAATAGATTGGTAAACAAATAAGTGATAAACATTACCAAGTTTATTATCACACGTTCCAAATAAAAAAATTGTGATGATTAGTGGAAAATGATATTTAACGAATAGCATTCAATATTTTTTTTTTTGAAAGGCATAAATATAAAGACCGATATTCTAAAATTTTTATTACCTTTTCAATTGAGATTTTATAAATATAGAGACTGAGATATTAATGTTCTTCGTTGTTTATATGAGAAAATAAAATAAAATAAAAAATGCACACTTAATAGATCTTAGCTAGAATTTTTAAATAATAAAATAAATTAAAGCCAAAAATTTAATGCAACATTAAATGTTGTATGAATTTTCAAAGATAAAAATAAAAAAATAATAAAACTTACTATTTATAGGTTGCATTAAATTCTCTCCTATTTTTTTGCTACTATTTTTGTTAAATGGTAATTCTTATTATATATGTATAGATTGCTCGATTAATTAGAAAAGTGAAGATACTCTTGTGTATATATATAATTATATACTCATGCTTTGTAACTAGTTTTATCTAGTGTAATTGCACGAAAAGTGATATAATAGAAGAAAAAATAATTAAAAGTATAGAATAAAATAAAAATTATAACTTAATAAATGAGCAAAAATAATTTAAAAAAATGAATTTAAATACTATTGAGCATTTCTCTATACACAACATTTGTTGTTTTTCTATCGTCAGAATCCCTATCGCAACACCACTTCGACTCGTCACTCTAGAATTTGAATTTTTCAAATATCTGATGTATCTTTGTAATACCCGAAAAAATATTTTTATATTATTGTATGACTGCAATAGAAAATAGAGATATTTGTAGTCATTCTTAATTAGTTGTGAAATATGTTTTTGTATAATACCAAAAAATATATAGTATCAAAATAAAAATAAAAATATTTTGTATTTCAGGACATATAAAGGCGTTACCGAAATGGACACCATCCAAAATGGGACATGTCAAAATAAATTGTGTAACTGAAAGTTACATATTATTATTAAATGGTGAACATATTTTTATTAAATGAATTCATATTATTATTAATTGTTGGCTGAATAAAATTTATTGAACTTTGCCAGCAATTATATATATATAGATTCTCATCTTCAGGAAAACTCTTTCTACACTATACATATCAGTTTTCTCAGATTTGTTACAACTACTCATCTCAAAATATGTCTGCTCTCTCAATTTTCCAAATTTGCAATTTATTTATTGTTAACAAATTTTTAGCCACATCTAAACCAAAATATTATAATTATCGTAGCAATATTTTTTTAATTGCAATTTATTTGTTATTAAACAAATTTTTAGACACACCTCACCAAATATTATATTTATCAAATTCGATTGCAATTTAATAATTACCATCTCAAACATGTACACTATTATATATTATATTTATCACTATTAGTCTAAAAATATCAGATAACCACATTAATGAAAGTGCTCTATTTGACAAGTTGAGAGTGCACCTCTTATAATGCATTTTTTTTTTTTTCAATATTACGGCAATTTTTTATCCACATCTAATTAAGTACTCATAAATCCCTATATTGCATTTATTTATTTATTTATTGTAATTTTTTATCCACATCTAAATACTCAATAAATATTATATTTCATTCTTTTAATCTAAGAATATCATATTTAAAAATAATATTTTTAAAATATTAAACTAAATTTTATAAAATTTTTATTGAACTTATATAAGTAGTTCAATAAAAATAATAGGTAATGAATGGAGATGATAAAATAACTTTTACATAAAATTTTAATTATATTATAACAAATATTGAAGTTTAATATTTAACAATAATAGGTTTTAGTGAATTTAGAGAAAAAGTTATAATTAAGTCATACGATGAATTTTTTGAATAGATTCATTAAAATAGTGAACTGAACAAAGTTGTGGAGAGATTTCATTTCAAGAAGAATATATTTTAATGAAAATTTTTTATATTAATAAAATATTTGAAATACTTATGTTATGTATCAATATACATGTCTTTATAATTGGATCAACCGTGGCTTATTTGAAATACTTCCACAATAAAAACAAACAAACACTACTCACAATAGTCATCACAACATAAGAACATCAATTAGTTGATCTCTTACGGTATAAAGAATTTTAGTCTCTCTTAGTTTCAGCCACCTGCACCGGTCTCACGGGTAAAGCATACTCTTGGCACCCGTGTAGTCCATCAACCTCTTGCCGAGTTTCTCCCTTGATGGCTCGACAGGTGCCGTCATGGACATATATATATGAGCCTTAAATTCCACTCGACCACATATAAGTGTCTTTGAACCAAATCGGCTCGGTATTACAGTGGCCTTAGCACATCTCGCTACATAGCACAGACAGGCATTAGGTTTCACTTGCACCTCCAATTCATGCACACAATTTGAATACCCAGCAAATAAGTGAAAAATGTTAGAATATACACTTGTGAGTTGTCCCACATCGTATATATAGGAAAAATAGGTCTAACTTATAAGCCCAGTAGATTATTCCTCCTACCACCAATTGGTTTTGGGATGGAACCTCACTTGAGCTTCATTTGGGCTTTCCTGCTTTAGTGTGCTTCGTTCATGGGACCGCACCTGTCAACCCCCGTTTCGTCAAAACAAGAATGAGGAGTAAAGAGAGAGTGGTCAAGAAAATTCCAATATTCAAAATTTTTGTAACAAATGAAATTCTAGGACTTGGAGTCTAAGAAGAAACTGAGAGAAATTGGTTCAAGAGTGAATAGAGTGGTGGAGGACCCAATTAAGTACAATAAGATGAGTCGCCTAAGATAAAATATATAACAATAATTCAATATGAAACATAGACTAAAATTATAAAAGAAAGACACCATGTAGATTCAACTAAAGTGGTAATAATAGCTTCAAACGAGTTGAAATATCCAAAGGTTTGCTCACAAAAATGTGACCAACTGGTTTTTTTATGCTACGCCCTTTATTAGTTGTATATTTAATTTATTATCATTCTACTATAAAAATATATATTTCTTTACTTCTTTATTTTGATACAAATATTTAACTTTCAAGCGCTCGTGATATTCACGGGCGTTATTAACTGTCGAATAAATTAATTAATCTATTTAAATTTTATAAAAGTAAATATATATTAAATAAAATAAATAATACTTCATAAAAATATTTCATAGAATTCTAAATAATATTAAAAAAATAGTTTCTTATTAATTATTTATATTATTTTTTTGCAATAAGAATTTTATATTTTTCACTTTTTGTTGGACAATTATTTTTTTATGAAATATTTGTGTAGTACACGGGCGTTGTACTAGTATTAACTAAACCGAGTAACCAAAACGATTGAGAATGAGAGAAATTGGACTAGGGAAATAGTAGCTCAGTAACCGAGTAACCAAAACGATTGGTGTTTTGCTCATGATTTCGTCGTTCACAAAATGTTTAACATAGAAAATAGTTCCTTCTTTTATTGAATTTGATTCTTTGCTTGCTTGTTCTTCTGCTGGTTATGAAACATGTTGAGGATGAGAAAACATTACCTAGCTCAGTCGTCCTGTGATCATATACGAAAGCTCAAAGTCACGAAAATATGGTAAACTGAAAGTAATTTTACCTGTGATTGGAAGTCTGGACTAACTTCGGAGACGAAGGTTGCAATAATTTTCCTCTACACAATGCCTTTTTCTGTTATTTACACTTGCTTTTTGACAGCAATGTAGTATATATTTTATTACTTTTTAGTTATTGAATCTGGACCGTGCAAATGGACATAAGGATGCTTTCTGCACCAGCATTGCTTCCTACAGAAATCTACCCGAGATTTATGCCTGTTATTGTTTATTTCTTCTTAATTATGGGCATGCGGAGTTGTGTCTTTAGACTATCTTCGACCTTTCTACCCGAGATTTATATGATTGTTATTGTTTCTTTCTTCTTAGTTATGGGCATATCTCGCCGAGTTGTGTCTTAATTGCACTATTAATTTTATAACATAAAACAACATAAAACTAGAAATTTATTTATTTTGTCTGTTATATATTTAATAAAATAAAATATATCCTGAAATGTGTTTTTATATTCTCTCTATTCATTAGGGGAAAAAAATGAAAATTATAACAAAAAAAAAAGAAGCCTCGAATTACCAATTCAAGACCGCAAGACCTGGAAAATTTCAAAACAATTCAAGACCGCAAGACCTGGAAAAGAAGTCTCGGGCAGTTAATATATCCAACGACTTGCTTGACAGGATGAGTCGGTACGCACACAAACTAGTGAGCCGTCATCGCCCTCGATGGGACCCTCTCGAGACTTGGGCTTCGATTTCGATGCTACGATCTTTGAGTTTGATCTCCTTCATAACACTATCACAGCATACCGAATAGGCCTAAGCTTTCAATTGGAGTGAAAGAAAACCGGAAAGGTCCGTCTGAAAGAAAACCGGAAAGGTCCGTCCATACTTCCTGTTTCGCAATTCTGACCTCTCCATTTCAACTTAACGCACACTACCCCGCGATACATCCTGTTTCGCAATTCTGAAAGGTCCGTCCACTCCACGAGCTGCCATATTTTCCCATTGACGGTTTTCACGTGCACTTGCTCCAAGTCGTGCCGCCAAAAGGTCCCAAGGCTCATGCTTGCAAGCAAGATGTTGAACTGAAACTCTGAGAGCCTCCGGTACCTGGCCACCTCTGACTTGCTCATGGGCCTAGAATCCCATACGTGCCTCGGTCGACAAACACGAAACAAATCATTCGTAAAGTCCCAGTACCAAGATTCCGTGCGCCAGTTCATATTTCCAAATTCAAAGTTCTCCACCACCACAGGCGGCTCGTCACTGAGAAGACCACTGCCGTCAAGAGAACCACATGGCATGTCCATCTGCAAAATCAGATCAATCCGAGACCCACTTAGTGGCTCGAGCATTCGTCTCAGCTTAAGAAACCACGAATTGACGTTGAAATCGGGATCATTCTCACACAAGTAGAGGATTACATTTGAATCCCACTCCTTGGAAGTAGTGGTCGTGAAAGAGAATGTGTCCAGCACCTGGGGGGCAATGATCATAAAATTGAGAATGTTGGGGGCAGAAATCGTAACTCCTTTAAGCGATATTATGTTTGTCGAGATGCTCAACCGCTTGACCGAATCACTTGCAAGATGGAATTCCTCGAAACCGGAGCAATTATCTAGGGCCAAGTTCTCAAGAGTCGGGCAGCCGAACGATAACAGGTCGATGGACTCGCTCGACAGGATTGCATTACAGAGATGCAAACTCGTGAGACGAGAAAACAAGAATGCGCTTCGGCGGTGAGACCAAATCCATGGGCCCCTGATGCGGACCATCTCGAAATTTGGGACATCGATTTTGATGCCACCTACTTTCATCTTGATGCAATCATACAATTCAAAGTGCTTCAGCCCAGGCGCCTCGCTCAACCTAACGTTTCTCAACTTCCAACAGTCATTAATGACCAGGCGCCTGAGCAAAGGGCAGCCCGACAATATATTCTCCAAAGTGCCGTCATCAACTTGGACCTGTTCGAGAGTGAGCGTGCGCAGACTTTTGAACCGCACGCTCTCGACTGGGCTAAGCCTGCATTTGCATTTGTTCAGGTGTAGTTCTTCGAGGGACTCGGCTAAGAAGACTGCCGAGGGCAGGTTGTAATACGGCGCAGTATATGAAAGAAACTCGAGTTTAAACGCTTTTATGTTGAGGGGGGCGATTATTGGGATCCATTTGTCGACAAGGGAGACGACCGGTCGTGAGTTGGGCCTAGAAAATTTAAGACAGAGTTGGTGTACGGAGAGATTTTGATCACGGTATCCTTGTAGGGTTCGGTCGATGATGAAGACAAACTTTTCTTGTGTGTCGTCGAACCATTCTTTGGAGAAGTCGAGGTTTGGGCGGGTTGTTCCTATGTGGCGCCATTGTTTGGAGAGGAGACAAGTTCTCACAGCTTCTTTCTGGGAGAGGAAACAAAGAATATGGTGAAGTATAGGTATTGGAAATTCGGATATTCTATCGTCCATGGCTGCCGAGGTATTCTCCTTTTTTTTTTCTTTTTTGAGGTGAGAGTTAATTAAAACACAGTTTTGTAATCGACAACTTTTTCAATCAGTTTTCTAATATGACTATGAATATAGAAGTCGATATTCCTAATCCTACTCAGTTTTTATTCGGGATAGCGTTCTAGATTTGCGGGATTCTTTTCCACGATTGATTCAATCTAGATCAATATGGTAATTGTTTTATATTAACGATTAGTATTGTTGGGTTAAGTAGGAAAGTGAAGATACTTTATTCGAGGTGTGCAGAAATCTCCTATTCTAGATTATTATGGTCATTATTGTATATTAGATATTGTTCGACTAATTAGGAGGTGTGTATATATACTCATGCTTTGTAATTCTCACCTTGAGGAAAACTATTTCTACACTATCAGGCCGACCCTTGCTGGAGGCAAGCTAGGCCAGGCCCTCCATTTATTTGGGGCCTTATTTTTTTTTTTTATATATATATATTATATATAATGTATTGTGTTGCACTTCACCTATTTACATAAATGAAAAGGTTAATAGTTAAATATGGACTTGACTCATTATACAAATAAAGAAACTTATTAATGAAGGAGTTAATAACAAAATATGTACTTTGTGAGAGAATTTGAGGCCATAAATTGTATTCTTATGATGTTTGTTCATTTTAAAATCATTAATGCTCATTCTAGAAATAAGTAGAAATTAGTTGATTGTTATCATTAAATGCTCATTGTTGGTTGTTGAAATAAATGCTAAGTGCTCTAGATTTTTCCCTACAGGCTATATATATGTATGTCATGCGTGTAGTTGAAATGCAAGGGGAATTCATCAGATAATAATAAAGTCTTGTCTTCTCTACTACAATTCCCAATATCCATCTTCTCACATTCATAACATAAAATATTTGTTCCCAATTATCTTTTATTCCACCAATTTCAATTATTCTCCAACACAATTATAAATTATTTTTTTATACCAACAGTGGTATCAGAGCCCGGTTGGATCAATAGCTGGGCAACATTATTTTCCAATATCCTTCTATATTTACATATTTTGTCCAAATACCCTACTTTCACATATCCTCCTACTTTCATATAGCCTACTAAAATTTTTAAAATGGCCACTTCCCAAAACACCCATCAAATACCAATTCCTATTTTTTCCGGCGAAAGTTACAACTATTGGGCCATTAAAATGAGAACATACTTTATGTC